CTCGCCTGCCCAGGCGGGTCTCGAACGCGTGGGCTCAGGCAATCCACTCACCTCAGTCTCCCAAAGGCGCGGGATTACAGGCTGAGCCACCGAGCCCGGCTTAGAGGGACTCTTATCAGAGCAGAAGGCCAGGTGTGGTGGCTCATGGCAGTAATCCTAGAACTTTGGGAGGCGAGGTTGGAGGATTGCTTGAGCCCAGGAGTTCAAGACCAGTCTGGGCAAGAGAGCTAGACCTCATCTCTAAAAAAAAAAAAAATAAATGACACTGATTGAAATAAATAAAAATTTTTAAAATGAATGATTCAGCCGGGCTCGGTGTTCAAGACCCGCCAGGGCAGGCGAGACCTCATCTCTACAATAAATCAAAAAATTAGCCGGGTATGGTAGCGCGCGCCTGTAATTCCGGCTACTCGGAAGGCTGAGGCAGAAGGATCGTTGGAGCCCAGCAGGTCGAGGCTGTGGTGGCCGGGAGTGGCAACTGCACTCCAGTCTGGGTGACAGAGTGAGACTCCAACTCAAAAAACAAAAAACAAACAAACAAACAAAAAATAAATAAATAAAATGAATGATTCAGTCAGGCATGGTGTTCTGTAGACCCAGCTACTCAAGAAGCTGAGGTAGTAGGATAGCATGAGCCCAGGAGGTCAAGGATGCCAGGAGCCATGATTATGCCACAGCACTACAACCTGGGTGATGAAGTGAGACCTTGACTCAAAAGCAAAATTTAAAAAACCAAAAAAACAGGGCAGAGTGGGATATTCAGTGCCCACCATCAGCAAACCCACTGCAAACACACACACACACACACACACACACACCACAAGCCCCCAGTTTTTCGATTGCAGCACTTTCCAAATGAGGTTTTATTCATTAGGGCTGGAATTTCAGAAAGAAGAGCATTATCTGGAATCATGTAACATTTAAAACGTTAATCTAAGAAACATGCCCCAAAGGCTCTTAATTACAGTGGTTTGGAACAAAGCAGCAGAGTAAATGTTTCATGAGCTGAAATTATTTTCTGTGTTTGAAGGTAAAATTAAGGAGAAATTTTGGTCATTACCTCTCAGTGAATTCTAATAGCTTGCCTAATAAACTCTTTGGCAGTGAACAATAGGTATACTAATGACCTGAACTCCAAGATGCTCTGCAAAAATATGAAACTGAAATACAGCACTGCTGTGACAGTATTTTTATCATCTAGCTATTTTTCCTGAGACTGTAACCCTCAAATCTTTGCTGCTTTATTTTCAAGATATTCTGCAAAGGTTTCTTGGATTTTTTAAAACAACAGTCAATAGATTTGTATACCAGTAAAAATAAAGCACAACACAGCAGTGCCTAATCACAAATATCTACCAAGAATGTAAGGCCCTGGCTCAAGTCTATAATCCCAGCACTTTGGGAAGCCGATGCGAGAGGATTGCCTGAGCCCGTGGGTTTGAGACCAGCCTGGGCAACATGGCGAGACCTCATCTCTACAATAAGTCAAAAAATTCGCTGGGCATGGTAGCATGTGTCTTTAGTTCTGGCTACTTGGGAGGCTGAGGCAAAAAGATCGCCTGAGCCCAGCAGATCGAGGCTGTGGTAGCCGGGAGTGTGCCACTGCACTCGAGTCTGGGTGACAGAGTGAGACTCCAACTCAAAAAAAAAAAAAGAATGTGAGGCCCTCAACTATGAGGACGTGTATGAGACTTGCTGGTCCCTGTTCATAGTGGGTGACATGAGGAACCGCTTCAGGGAGCTGTGATTACATAGCATGAATCACAGCACATGAACCAGAAATAGAGTCAACTTCAGGCGATGACACCACACTCTACATTCAAGGTATTGTGGCCTGTATTGCAGGGAATCCAAAGTAGGATATGACATCACCCCTGCCCTCAAGGAATTTTCTAGACCGTGGCTCTGGATAGTGTGCCAGGCACATAGTATGTGGATGTTGTTACTTCTGTTCTCAAAAAACCAAACTGACACCCTGCTGTCTATATCAAGTTAAATTCCTATCATAGCATCAAACCCTTCCAGGCTCATTTTCAAGGACTTGGCACACATGGATAATACAGCCCCGTTGGACTAGTCACCCCTTGAACATAGTCTTCTGCCCTGTACCAATCGTCTGCCTCAGTTTACCTTACTTAGTCCCTGCCCTTGGAGAGGCATTTCACCTCTTATGCCTATTCTTAAAGGCCTGGCCTTTAAAATGAACCATGAAGTCTTCTGAGTGCCTCTCAGACCATGTAACTCCCATCCCCCTGCCCAGATTCCAGCATTGACAGGATTTCACTTACTTTTCTCACTTACTGGATTGGAGTTACTGGCTATTTCTCCAGTCCTCCAAGAGAAAAAGACTCCTGTTCTTTACAGAGCCCCAGCAATATGGTCTTGCACATGGGAAGGGCTCAAAAACATTTATGAAACAAAATTGAAAGACAGAAACACCAATAAAGTTTGACATGAGGCAGAACTTGTGAGAGCCAAGGGCAAAATGCGAGGAAGTCCTTGAGCAGGGGAGAAGAGAGAAACAATTTGGCCAGAGAAAGTTGGATCTTGAGGAGATGCCACATGCTCCAAACTTGCTTTTTAGTTTCTACAAAATACTGGAAATGACTGAATCCAAACTTTTTGTAGGCCACATGTCAAAGTGTCCTAAATTCAGATCAGCACCAATTGCAACCACCGCTTCCCGCTGCTTGGGTCATTCTGTGATACCTACCGTGAGCTGCACATCCGGCTTCTTTTCTAGAAGAACCATGTCACTGGGTAAGCCAAAGGACTTGGACTGGTAAGTGAGATAGCCGCCATACGAGGAAACCTGAAATGGAGTCAACAGTATCAATACCACAAGCATTAAGAGACTACGTCAGCATTAACCCGCATAAAAGATACATAGAGCTGAACATGGTGGCTCATGCCTATAATCCCAGCATTTTGGGAGGCTGAGGCAGGAGGATTGCTTGAGTCCAAGAGTTCGAGACCTGCCTAGGCAACCTGTTTCTATCAAAAATAAAAAAAATTAGCCAGGCATAGTGGCACACACCTGTTGTCCCAGCTACTTGGGAGGCTGAGGTGGAAGAATCACTTGTGCCCAGGAATTTGTGGTAAGCCATGATTGTGCCACTGCACTCTAGCCTAGGCAACAAAATGAGACTGTGACTCAAGAAAAAAAAATTAAATAAATTAATAAATAATAAACAAATAACAAGCACACAAAGTCTGGGAATACACAATCAGCCTGTTAACAAGGCTTATATCTAGAGAGCAAGATTGAGAATGGCATTTAACTTTCTACTTTATTCTATTTTTTATATTGTTTAAAATGTTTAGAGTGAACATGCTAGAGTTTTTCAGGCAAGAACACGCTTCTATTAAAAAAGAAAAATAATAGTCCTACTGAAACTCAAATAAGATCTTTTTTTCTAGATGACTACCAAACCAAAATTTTTATTTAATCCCCTGCAATTCTAGGAAATCTAGGCCATTGGATTCTTATTTAAGGGAGAGAATTGGGTAATCATATCTCTCTGCCACAAAATGAACCTCTAAAAATAAATTTTCTCCAAAAACAATACCCCTGAAAGCCAATGGCAGATATTTCCCAAGTTAATGTGAATTCTACTGGGTACAGAAGCCAGGACTGACTGCGCCAGTAGGTGCAGGGACCGTCTCCCAATGCCATATACGCAGCGTGATCGTGATGGGGATATAGAAGTGAATGATCATGGTTTTCTCATAGCTGCTTCACATCTAATCCTGATACCTCCTGCCCTTAAGGTAAAAACCAATTGAGAAGGAAGCAGTGACAGAAGGATGGAAATCACAGGCAAGATCACCTCAGATTGGACAGAACAAAATACCTGACAAGAAAATGCCAACAACTTGGAGCAAGGAGAAGCAGCAGCTCTTCTGAGATCCCAAGCAATAGAAGTTTTTCCCTAGAGTCTGCAACCCGAGAAAGCTGCACAGAATTTTCACCTTTGAGCCTGAAGTATTTTGGGTAACATCTTGAATCATCTTATTGAAATTAAGTATTGCCTTGTCGATGGGCTAAGATGGTTTTAAAAATATGCCCACGAATTCTTTATACTCCTGCCTTCGAGAGGTAGAGCTCAATTCCCTCCTCTGAAGTGTGTGCTGTACTTAGTGACTCACTTCTGATGACTAGAATAAGGGAGAAGAGATATTATGTCAGTTCTGAAATTAGGTTGTAAAAAGATTGCAGCTTTGTCTTGAGCTAGTGCTCTTGGCATACTCGTGCTCCGCCCCTTCCCTTCCCTCCCTTTTTTCTTCCCTCCTTCCCTCTCTCTCTCTTTTGTTGCTTTGGGGAAAGCCAGCTGCCATGTCACGAGGACCCTTGGCTAGCCTACGGAGGGTCTCATCTGATGAGGAACTGAGGCCTCCAGCTGACTGACAGCCAGGAACAGAGGCCTGCTAACAATCACGCAAATGAACTTGGAAGCAGATTCTCCAGGCCCAGATGACCACAGCTACTGACATCTTGACTGCCACCTCATAAGAGCCTCTGGGCCATCTCCTCCAGAAATCCTGATTCACAGAAACTGTACAAGATAATACTTGGCGCGTTAAGCTGCATTGGCGTAATGTGTTCCATTGTAATAGATAATCAACACATGGACTCATCATGTAGAAGTGAAGAGGAGCATTAAGTGAGGGAGAAGTGGGGTCTTATCAGAGAAGCAACACTCAGACGTCAAAGCCCACAGGCATCGCCCAGAAGACAGAATTAGAGACCTCAGGTTGACAAGGCCCTAATATTTAGTCATTCCAAATGTGAGAAAAGGGCATCACCTGAGCTAGTCCTGTGAAATCCACCCCCTTCTCTGTAGTTCTTTACTTGATGAGAAGCACATGTCACCTGATGGTGTTTCCACATGAGGCCTGCATTTCTGACCTCATAAAATGGATGGATTTAGCCAGGCTCTGGAATAATAATTTATGCAGCAAAAGAAGAGCGCTGGTTTATAAGCTCCCTGAAGAGTATGTAATTAAATGCACGAGATTTTACTTACAAAAGTAGAACTGCCAGTGAATCCTATGTTTCCTTTAATACACATATGAGTCACTTTTCAGCTTTTGTTTTCCTGACAAAGAGGCTTTCTTCTGCTTTAAAACAAAGAATTCTCAGCACTGGTGTTTAAAACCACACATGTCCCATTTGTAATAGATATTATTTAAATGATTACTTCCCTGAGGGAACATTCTTTGGCATTAGGTAAAAAGCAAGTAAAATGTGCAGGATTTCCTTTGCTGGTAGCTCATGCATGGGGAGCACAAGAGGCACCTGTTACCCCTAACAGTGAGGGGGTCAGGTCTCTTCTTCATTTTTAGTTTGCCTTGCTTCCTAAATGTGAATAACCTGAACTCCTGGATGCTTGTTGCTTCTTCCAGACATTCAGTCAATGATGCTCATGCAGTGGTAGAAGAGGCCCACTGAGATTCAGAAGAATAACAGTATATCATTACCTTGTCCCCCAGATAGGAAGGAGGTGCAACCCAGGATGCACTGCGGACTGTCGCGGGCAGCTCCTGGAGGTCCGCCACCACGCTGTTGCTGCCTGGGTTGAATGAGACGGGGATGTCCACTCTGTCTGCCGTCTCCAGGCGCCAGCCCATCATGTCCACAAACTGGAACACAAAAGCGAAGGATGGAAATGGGTGACTGTGGCTTCCTCGGTGATGGCTGTGCTATGCATAATAGAAAGATCCATGGGGCAGTCACCTTGCTTCAAAGACATCCTGTATGTGTCTGTCTCCTCTTGAGTCTGCCCCTACTCGGATGCCCATGATGGAGCCTCTGCCTGACCCATCACCACCGAGAATTCTCCAAGGGCAGTGGCCATGCATCTGTGGAGTTTATCTTGGTTCTCGACATTTAGTAGGTCATCAATGAGTGTTTGAATAATAAATAAACAAGTGTATGAATAATAACTAGGACTGTGGGCACATTTAATGTCGAGCTCCTTATAGTGAAAAATGTAACGTGGAGTTAAATGACCTGCTATTATTGTTTTTCTCTAAATGAGCATCAAAATTAAATCTTTTCCTGGTCACTAAGGAAGCCAGTTAATTCTGACATCAGAAAAAAGAAAGAATTGAACAGGCATAGATCAGGATTAATGCTTTCTGGTTCCCTGAGGGGGCTGGGTAAGGAGAGGATACTCATAGCAGATTTACAAGTTAATCTTTTTTCCAATTACCTCTTTCCACTCCTTTTAGGAGGCAGGCAGTAAAATATACCAAATAATCTTTCTCTGAATATGTGTTGGATGTAAGACATTATTCACACAAAGAACACAAGCACGAGACTACTGATTCATGGAATAATGAAGATAACAAAAATTTTGGTTTCATGAAGTTAATTTAAAAGGTGGCCAGAGGGCTGGGCTCAGCGGCTCAGCCTGTAATCCCAGCACCTTGGAAGGCTGAGGTGAGTGGATTGTCTGAGCCCACAGGTTCGAGACCAGTGCAGGCAATTTGGTGAGACCTCATCTCTACAATAAATTAAAAAAAAATTAGCCGGGCATGGTAGTACGTGCCTGTAGTTCTGGCTACTTGGAAGGCTGAGGTGAAACGATTACCGGAGCCCAACAGGTGGATGCTGGGGTAGCCATGAGTGTGCCACTGCACTTCATCCAGTCTGGGTGACGGAGTAAGACTCCAACTCAAAAAATAAAATAAAATAAAAGGTGACCAGAGAAAAGATGCCATAAAATAGGTGAGAAGGAAAATAAAAAGAGAAGAAGAAAAATGAGGGGTGTGATATTGTGACATAATAAGATATGTCTGTTTGGCCTCTGCCCCAGTTCCTGGCACAGTATTCCTAAAACCCTTGTAATTTCCCAAATGATAAGGATGTAAGAACATCTTTTTTCATACTATTTGGTCTTAGTCCCCAGTTTCTGAAAGCAGAGCTTCTAAGACCCTTGGAATCTCCAGATGGAATATGATAGTATCTTTTTGTATGCTAATAGATTGACAGGTGGCCAGGCCCTTAGGTTACATTAGAATGGGGGCTGGTTGACAGAAAAAAAATAAGGCAGGATTAGCTGGGCACGATGGCTCATGCCTGTAATCCCAACATTTTGGGAGACCCAGGCAGGAGGGTGGCCTCAGTCCAGGAGTTCGAGACCAAACTAGGCAATATGGTGAGACCACTGGACTCCAGCCCGGGTGGAAGAGTGAGACTCTGCCTTAAAAATAAAAAGCCTTGTACTTTCAGCACCACACCAACCTCTGGGAAGGGGAGAGTGACTGGAGATTGATTTCATTAATCCCAGCACTTTGGGAGGCTAAGGTAGGAAGACTCCTTGAACACGGGAATTTGGGACCAGCCTAGGCAACATAGCAAGACCTCATTTCTACAGCATTTTTTAAAAAAATTAGCTGAGCCTGGTGCTGCATGCCTGTACTCACAGCTACTTGGGAGGCTGAGGCAGGAGGATCACCTGAGCCCAGGAGGTCAAGGCTAGAGTGAGCTGTTACTGTGCTACTGCACTCCAGCCTAAGTGATACAGTGAGACCCTGACTCAAACACACACACACACATACACTCACTAGTGGCTAATAGTTTAATCAATCATGCCTACATAATAGTCTCCACACAAAGCTTAAGTGATGGTTTTGAAGAGCTCCTGGCTTGGCAAGTACATCTGTGTGTGGGGAGGGTGGTGTAACCCCAATTTCCTGTGCTAGGGACCCTTCTGAAACTCTCCCTATGTACTTGTTCTTTTGTGTCCCTTACCATATACCTTTATTGTGAATCAGCAACGGTAAGTCAACAGCTTCCCCAAGTTCTGTGAGCTGTTATACTAAATTACCACACATGAAGAGGGGCTTGTGGGAACCCTCAATTTGTAGCAGGTACTGGTGGCCTAGGACTTGCCATTGGCATCTGAAATGAGGGCATTCTTGTGGGCCCTGAGGGGTCTGATGCCATCTCCAGGCAGATAGTGTCAGAGTTGAATTGTAGGATACCCAGTGAGCATCTGGAGAGACTTGGAGAATTCTTGGTGTGGAAAAAAACCCACACACTTGGTGTAGAGTCCTGTGAGTACAGAAACAGGGCTTGCTTTCAATGAGGAAAACATCAAAATCCATTCATTTAATGAGGATTTATAGAGCATCTGTTATGTCCTGAATCCTGCTCTGGGAGGATGCATCAAGGCACTCACATTCCAGTGGTGGAGGAAGACAGAGAATACATTTTAAAACAAAATGTGAAATACGTCAGGGAGTGAAAAACGCTATTCAGAAAACAAGGGTAAGGTCAGAGAGTGTGACCAGGGTGTTCTATTTTATAGAAAGCAACGAAGGAAAGCTGCTCTGAGCAAGTGACATTTGAGCTGACCTGATGAATTCAGGGAACAAGAATTTAAAAAACGCTACAGGCCAAGGAACAGTAAGGGCAGTGCTTACCATTTCAACAAATCAATATATTTCCCCCACTTTTTAATGGGGCTGTTTGTTTTTTTTCCTTTCGGCACATTTGAGTTCCTTGTAGATCCTGGATGTTCGGCCTTTGTCAGATATATAGTTGGCAAATAATTTTTCCCACTTTCTGGGCTGTCTCCTTGCTCTCTTGAAGGTTTGTTTCTTTTGCTTTGCAGAAACTTTTCAGTTTGATGAGGTCCCTATCTTATCTCTTATGGCATGGACATCTGGGGTTTTAATAAGGAATTGGTTGCCTACTCTGATTTCTGTAAGAGTGTCTTCTGCATTTTCTAAGATTCTTATAGTTTGAGGTTTTATGCTCAGGTCTTTGATTCATTTAGAGTTGATTTTTGTGTATGGTGATAGCTACTTCTCAAAGAAGATATATGGGCAACTAACAGACACATGAAAAGGTGCTTAGCCTTACTAATCATCAGAGAAATGCAAATCAAAACCACACTGAAATACCACCTAACCCCAATAAGAATGGCCATCATAAGTAAAACAAGAAAAAGAGAGAAAAAGCCCAAATAAGCATAATCAGAAATACAAAAGATCAAATCACAACTGACCCTGAAGAAATACAAAAGATTACCAGAGATTACTATGTACACCTGTATGGAAACAAACTTACTAACCTAAATGAAATGGAGGACTTTCTGATATCACACAACCTCCCCAGGTTGAAACAAGAAGACATTGAGACACTAAATAGACCAATAGCGACCCAGGAAATTGACTCTGTCATAAGAAAACTACCTCCAAAAAAAAAATCCCTGAACCGGATGACTTTCCAGCAGAATTCTAGAAAACATACAAGGAGGAGCTGATACCAATCCTATTGAAAGTATTCCAGGCAATTGATAAAGATTGAATTCTCCCCAAATCATTTTATGAAGTTAACACCATACTGATACCCAAACTGATACCCAAAGTAAAGATCCAACAACAAAAAAAAAGAACTACAGGCCAATATCCCTTATTAACATAGATGCAAAAATCCTCAACAAGATTCAAGCAAATCGGATCCAAAAACACATCTAAAAAATCATACACAATGACCAAGTAGTCTTCATTCCTAGGATGCAGGGCAGGTTCAACATTCAAAAGATCATAAATACAATTAAATACATCAATAGATGTAAAAACAAAAACCACATGATTATATCATTAGATGCAGAAAAAGCTTTTGATAAAATCCAGCATCCTTTCTTGGAAAAAAACCCTCAAACACCTAGGTCTGGAAGGAACATACCTCAAAATAGTAAGTGCCATCTATAATAAACAACACAGCTAACATATTGCTAAATGGACAGAAATTGGAAATACTTCCCATGAAAACTGGAACAAGACAAGGCTGCCCACTCTCACCTCTCTTGTTCAACATTGCGTTGGAAGTCCTAGCTTGGGCAATTAGACAAGAGAAGGAAATGCTGATGATATGATCCTGTACCTTGAAAATCCAAGAGAATCTGTCAAAAATCTGCTTGCACTGATAAAGGACTTTGGCAAAGTCTCAGGGCTCAAAATAAACATGCAAAAGACAGTTGCATTCCTATACACCAACAAAAAGCAGGCAGAGACCCAAATTAAAAGCACAATCCCATTCACAATAGTCACAAAAGAAAGAAAGAAAGAAAGAAAGAAAGAATCTCAGCATTTTCCTAACCAGAGAAGTAAAAGATCTTTACAATGAGAACTACAAAACACTGCTCAAAGAAATCCAAGAAGACACAAACAGATGGAAAAATATTCGATGCTCATGAATAGGAAGAATCAACATTGTTAAAATGTCCATTCTATCAAAGGCAATTTACAGATTCAACACAATACCCCTTAAGTTACCAACACCATTCTTCTCAGACCTGGAAATGACAATACAGAAATTCATATGGAAACATAAACGACCATGAATAGCCAAAACAATCCTTAGCAAAAGAAACAAAGCAGGAGGTATCACACTTCCAGACTTCAAACTGGCTACAGTAATTAAAAGATCCTGGTACTGGTACAAGAACAGGCACATAGTCCAATGGAACAGGATAGATATTCCGGAAGCAAAGCCTGAATTCCTCAACCAACTCATCTTTGACAAAGCCTCCAACAACAACCTCTGGGGAGAGGAGAACCTATTCAGTAAATGGTGCTGGGAAAACTGGCTGACCACATACAGAAGATTGAAACAGGATCCCTACCTATCACCATACACAAAAATGAACTCTAAATGAATCAAAGACTAAAGTAAAACCTAGAAATATAAGAATCTTAGAAAAAGCAGGAGACACCCTTATGGAAATTGGAACTGGTAACCAATTCCTATTCAGAACTCTAAAGGTCAATACCTTAAGAAATAAGAGAGACAAGTGGGACCTCATCAAACTAATGAGCTTCTGCAAAGCAAAGGAAACCATCAGGAGAGCAGGGAGACAGCCCACAGAATGGGAAAAAATATTTGCCAAATGTATATCTGACAAAGGCCTAACATCCAGGATCTACAAGGAACTCAAATGCGCTGAAAGGAAAACAAACAAACAAACAAAAACCAGCCACATTAAAAATGGGCAAAACACATGAATAGACACTTCTCAAAAGAAGATATACAGGTAGCCAACAGACACATGAAAAAGTGCTCAGCCTCACTCATCATCAGAGAAATGCAAATCAAAACCACATTGAGATACCACCTAACCCCAGTAAGAATGACCATCATTAATAAAACAACAACAGATGCGGGTGAGGATGCAGAGAAAAAGGAATGTTTCTACACTGCTGGTGGGAATGCAAACTAGTGCAACCTCTCTGGAAGACAGTATGGCGATTTCTGAAAGAACTAGAAATTGACCCTCCCTGTGACCCAGCAATTCCCCTATTGAGAATATACCTGGAGGGATTCAAATCATTCTACAAAAAAGGCACCTCCACACGTATGTTTGTTGCAGCTCTATTCACAATAGCAAAAACATCGAACCAACCATGTTGCCCATCGAAGCTGGATGGGATAAAAAAAATGTACATATACACAATGGAATATTATACAACCATAAAGAAAGACAAACATATGGACTTCGCAGCAACTTGGGCAGATTTGGAGTTGATCATACTCAGTGATCTATCACAGAAACAAAGAACAGAGTACCATACGTTCTCACTCATAAGCGGACCTTGAACAATTATCATAATACTATAAAAAAGGGGTTGGCTGTAGTGGGAAACTGTCAGGGGAATGGGGGTGGGATTGGCAGTTGAGGGAAACTGCTAGGGGAGGGAGGGGCACACCTCATCAACAAATGTACCTGCATAATCAACATTTGTATACCTAACCCTGAAATGTACCCCACATCTTTATAATACAAAAATAAAAAGTGAAAAATAAATAAATAAATAAAACAGATGCTGGTGAAAACGCAGAGAAAAGGAAACACTTCTACACTGCTGGTGAGAATGCAAACTAGTTCAACCTCTATGGAAAACAGTGTGGCGATTTCTAAAAGAACTAGAAATTGACCTTCCATATGACCCAGCAATTCCCCTACTGGGAATGTACCTGGTGGAAGTCAAAGCATTCTACAAGAAAGATACCTGCACATGCAGGTTTATTGCAGCACTATTCACAATAGCAAAAAATGGAACCAACCATGCTGCTCATTGAAACTGGACTGGATAAAAAAAGTGGTACATATACACAATGGAATATTACACAGCCATAAAGAAGGACAAACATATGGACTTTGCGGCAACTTGGATGGACTTAATAATACTATAATACTCAGTGATCTATCACAGAAACAAAGAATAGAGTACCACATGTTCTTACTCATAAGCAGACTCTGAATATTTACTATAGTACTATAAGAAAGGGATTGGCAGTAGTGGGATACTGCTGGGGTGAGGGGAGGGGGAGGGGGAACACAATATCAGTAAGGTTACCTGATCTCAAAGCAGGCAAAGTGGGGACCAAAAGGAGGTCCAAACTTTACCTGTACGATGTCCACTTGTATACCTAATCCTGAATTGTATTCAACAGCTTTAAAATAAAATGTGTTAAAAAAAAAAAACACAAAAAACAAATCAATATGCCAAAGTTTCATGGCATTTCATGCCAATGCATACCTTTGCTCTCCGCTTATGGGAACTGTGACAGTGAGTATTTACTCCAAAGCAGAAGCAGCTGGTGCAGCCCTTGGGATTGGCTGGGTCCAAATGGAACGATCCTTCTCGACACATGTTACATCCTACACCTTCCACATTTTCCTGTCAAAGCAAAAACATGAAGCGAGAGATCTTTCCTCCTAAAGTTTCCCTGACTGTAACAGCTACCTGCATACATTAAATACCAACACAAGCTGTTAGAATATGGATGTCAACAAAATATTAGAAGATATGTGTGTTAAGTTTTCACCCTGCATTAATTGTTTAAACTTTTACTATACACAAATGGAAGGCAGAATCCCTTAATTTCCTGAGATGCACCTGGGCATCTTGAAGGTAGAGAAATAACACCAGACGGATTCATGGTAGGGGAGATGGATTCATCCCACTCATGATCACCTCATTATATCTGCTGGGAACTGGAAGGCCTTCTACAACCTGGAAGAATCCCTTGTAGTGAAGATGATCACCTGGTGTCCATAGTGTGGGAATAGGCTTCAAGGGAACCTATGAGTCTCATTAAACTGTACATAGAAGTTTGTGTGGATTTTTCTAGAGAGGGTCTATACTTGTCATCAGATTCTCAAGGGGGTATGTGGCCTCTCCAAGGGATAAAAGGGGTCTCCCAAATATTTCTACGAAATGAGATGATGTCTATAAAATGTTACACGCATTATGGACATCTGTTATGGGCCAGTCCCATTTCCCACATATTTTCCTATGTTGACTTAGCATGAAGTACTTCCCCCAACTGGTAGCCAGAGTCCCTGGCATTGCACGATGTGTCTTACCTTGCAGAGGCAAGCTCCAGTCCCTGGGTCACATACTCCTGGCTCAGTCCCATCTTTGTTGCAATTGCAGGGAACACACTCAGGGAAGTGGTAAAACCCAGAAGCACATCTGTCACATCGCCGCCCCGTGATTCTGGGCTTGCATCTGTACCCAAAGTAAAGGAAGCAAACATCCATATCAATTTTGTACACATAATTCTAGAATGGTCACTTGTACTGTAGTGTAACAGTTGGTGTACAAAGCAGCTAAATAGGCACAATGCCTATCCACAGGATGCTTATAGTTTAAGGTAGAATGGAGAGAAGCAGATAAAAGACACTGATGGAAAGCAGGTCATTAACCATTGACCACTGACCACTGTGGATGGTTGTGGACATCCATTGTGGATGGATCAGGCTTGGTGTTAGGTGCTGGGGGTGCAAGGATGGACATGGTCCCTGAACTTGGAGGGCTCTAGCAGACAGTCCATGAGTGGAAATGAGGACAAAAAATGGCAGGTGACCCAACCCAGAAGAATCACAGGTTTCCCCGGGGCAGATGGCTCTTGAGCTGAGTCTTGAAAAGCAGAGTTGTGGGTTAGGAGGTGGGGCAGGCATCCCAGACAGAAGGAATAGAGTGGGAGAACACCCAGTGTGTGCAGGAAACAACACAAACATGGTGCTACAAGGGTCAGTGTCCAAGCAGGGAATGCTTGCCTTTGAACCCGAAGAGATGGTGCCAAATCACAACGATGGGGGTGGATGGAGGGAGAAATGAGGTGATGGTGGGTGGGTGGGGGAAGGAATGAGCTGCACACTGTCCGGTGGCCACACAGCGCAGTGGTTGAGACCTGCGTATCTGAGGCAGACTGGCTAGAAGTTCTCAACCACCTCTGACCCTATGAGACATATTGCCTTAGCATGTTCTTTAACTTCTCAAAGCCTTACTTTTCTCCTCTGGGAGGGAGGGAAAACGGTAGCTGCTGCTTCTCCTAGGATTGTTGTGAACACATGAGGATGGGCACCATGCCTGGCATGCGGTGAGATTCAATCAAGGTAGACTATAACACCCAAGTTCGCTATCAAGAAAAGTCGCTAAGGAGGAGAGAGTGTGGTTGGACTTGTGTGAAGGATGGAGATGAGGAGGTGAATTCCTGCAGCGGCAGCAGCAGGTTGTCGAATTGGGAGAGAGATGACAGAGCTGACCTAGGGCAAGAGTATTCGAGATGGAGGAGACAGATGGGCCTCCAAACTGTTTTGGGGCAATTGGGACTTGAATTGCGCAGGATGAGGAGAGAGAAAAGAGGAGAAGGCAGGGAGGACCCCCAGTCTTCCAGCTGGGGTGATGGAGGGCATCCTGAGGCCCTTCATGAGGCTGAGAATAAAGGGGGTGAGAAGACAGTAAGGCCAGTCTGGTGGGGACAGTCAGCAGCTGTCACCGGCAAGTGCCTGAGCTCCGAGGAGAGCCCACAGAAAGCTCTGAGTCATCCATCCCCATCCAGCTGCAGGTCCATGCAGCTGAAGCACAGGGCAGATAAGAAAGCATAAGAGGCTGAGCAGAGGGTTGAGAAGAGCTGTGGGGCTGCAGCCAAGTCTGGAGAGCCCAGTACTGGATGGGTGAGGAGAGAAGGAGGAAGTGGTATGAGCCTTGAGAGCTCAGGCACTGTGCTCCCCAGCTGGGATCTGTTTCGGTAGGTCTAAGGAAAGCACAGTCAAGTTCAGTCAGCGATAGACCACACATACCAAGGTGGTCTCCTAAGATTATAATACCATATTTTTACTGTACCTTGCTTACACTTAGATATACCAATACCGTTGTGTTACAATTGCTAGCAGTATTCACAGTATAGTAGCTTGCTGTACAGGAGCAATAGACCATGCCACATAGCCGATGTGTGCAGTAGACTACATCACCCAGGTTCATGTGAGTACACCCTTTGATGTTCACACAATGACAAAATTGCCAAAAGACACATTTCTCAGATAGTATCCCTGTCATCAAGTCATGTGTGGCTGTATTGGAGACGTGCTTTTTATTGGCATACAGAAAATGTTTTACAATTCAATTACTACCAAGCATAAGTTTTTGCCTATCTTCTAGTACCTATTAGAATATCTTACTCCCTGGCCATCTTACAAACAACAAATACAACTTTATATTCCATTAAGTTTGCCTTTGGCAAATATCTACTTATAACCAGATTAATGATTTTGTGCAGGATTAAGAACACAAACTTGGGTTGGGAGTGGTAGCTCACACCTAAAATCCCAGCACTTTGGGAGGCCAAAGCAGGGAGATAGCTTGATCCCAGGAGTTCAAGACCAGCTAGGCAACACTTGTCTCAACACTTGTCAGCAAGAACTTGTCTCTACAAAAAATAAAAAAATTAGCAGGGTATGGTGTCACATGCCTGTAGTCCCAGTTACTCAGAAAGCCAAGGTGTAAGGATCACCTGAGCCCATGAGGTTGAGGCTGCAGTGAGTCATGATCGTGCCACTGCACTCCAGCCTGGGTGACAGAGTAAGACACTGACTCAAACAAAACAAAACAAAACCACTCACAAACTTGGAACTAGGCAAACTACGTTTGAATCCCAACTCTACTGCCTATGGGACTTTGAGCAAATTAATTTCTTTATAACTGTTTCCTCATTGGTAAAAGTTGGGGTAATAATATCTACTTCATAGGATTGCTGTGAAGATTAAGTAAGATGAAACACACAAAAGCTTTAGAACAGTGTCTTGCATGCATGTAAGTATTTGCTACTATTATCCTTGCTGTGACATTGGCTAAGGAGAGCTGGTGGGTACCTCTTACTCCACTCAGCACACCTAAAAGGCCTAAATCAGCTTTACCTGCAAGACACACTGACAAGACAAATGTCCGTACAGTCCTTCCAGCCCCATCCTTCTCATCTCTCCTTACCTGATACCTGCAGATATTATTTTGTAAGGAGGAAAGTATCCTTGAAACCACACCAAAGAAGAGTAGGTAAAGAGAGTAAATGTTCTACTTGAAGTGGATGGTTCCAGTGCAGTGGGTTGTAACCTTTAGGAAGGGATCAGAGACCCTTCTGGGGAGCTCGATACACTGTGAACCATCTTCTCAGAAAAGTGCTCACCCCCCCACACACACTTTCATACACACAATTTTTCATCCACTATCACAGGGTCCCTGGGTCCTAGGTTAATAACAACTGCTTTCTATCAAACTGAAAAGCGTCTGCAAAGCCAAAGAAACCATCAAGAGAGTGGGGAGACAGCCCACAGACTTGGAAAAAATATTTGTCAACTGTATATCTGACAATGACCTAACATCCAGGATTTACAAGAAACTTAAATGTGCCAAAAGGAAAAAATCAAACAGTCCCATTACAATGTGGGCAAAAGATATGAATAGATGCTTCTCAAAAGAAGATATATGAGCAGCCAGCAGATGCATGAAAAAAACGCTCAGCCTTACTAGTCATCAAAGAAATGCAAATTAAAACCACACTGAGGTACCACCTAACTCCAGTCAGGACAGCCATCGTCAATAACTCAAAAAACAACAGGTGATGGAGAGGATGCAGAGAAAAGGAAACACTTTTACACTGTTGGTGGGAGTATAAACTAGTACAACCTCTGTGGAAAACAGTTTGGCAATTCCTAAAAGATCTAAAAACCGACCTTCCATATGACCCCATGATCTCCTTTCTGGGAATATACTCAGAGAAACTCAAATCACTCTATGAAAAAGATACCTGTACATGCATGTTTATTGCAGCATTATTCACAATAGCAAAAACGTGGAACCAACTGTGCTGCCCATCGAAAGAGGACTGGATAAAAAAAATGTGGTACATATACACGATGGAATATTATGCAGCCATAAAGAAGGACAAAATTATGAACTTCACAGCAACTTGGATGGACTTAGAGTCTATAAAACTATCACAGAAACAAAGAACTAAGTACCACATGTTCTCACTCATAAGTGGACCTTGAACAACTATCGTAATACTATAAGAAAAGGATTGACAGTAGTGGGAAACTGCTGGGGGGGGCACACCTCATCATCAAGGGCACCTGCATAATGAGCATTTGTATACCTAACCCTGAATTGTACCCCACATCTTTAAAATTAAAAAAAAAACAAAAAACACTTGTTTTCTTCCTGTGAATTTCAAACTCAATACCATCAGACAGTTCAGCAAAAACATACAAAGCCTGTTCCCAGAGGATTCCTTATTTCTAGACAGGCAGTGAGTGTAGGGCACAAGAACCCTGGTGGTCTAGAGATGAGAAATAAGTATCTCTCAAAATGAATACCATCAGAGAGAAGTCTTAGAACAGAAGAGAGTCTTTGGAGATGACCCGACATAGGCTGAGAGGACACTACTTCTCTTCTCCTGGCATTGATGGAAAGGACACTGTGCACAGAGGTCTGGGTTTGTCGTCATGAAGTGCCAATCTGGCAGTTCAGCATCCTGAGGTCTAAGCGTTCCTTTTAGCAAACATGCTGGCTTCTTGCCAAGGGTGCATTCATTGGATGTTACGGACAAGTGAGCAACTCATACACTGAATGCCATTAATGGGCACAGTTCAGAGTGTCCCCCAAGCAAGTGACCTGGACCTGGAAGGTGAGTTCACACCTGTTTTTATATTTCCACTTCACTGGAAAAGAAGGAAATGAGAAATGGGAGTGTTTGCAACAAGGGCAGCTATGGCAGCTGCCTGTCCAGACAAGGGGGAAGGGAAGCAAATTCTTGACTTTATTTCAGCATCTGAGATGACAGGGTAGAGAGTGGCTGAGAGGATGTGGCCAAGTCAGTAGTACGGGCCCAAGTGCTGAGCCTCACACAGCACATAAGCAGCAGCTGACAGCACAAGAGTGGATGAGAAAAATCAAACACTGAGCAGAGTAATGGGGGCAGAGGCCTGTGAACAGGACCCTGGGCAGTGCCCCCGTGGCTGGTAGGCCACGGTTAACCCAAACATGGAGAATATAGTATCTATATTCCTGAGTCATGCAACGCTTAGATCATGGAGCTTATGAATCCCGCAAAAGCAAGCAACCAAAAAAGTTTTGGTGGTGCCATGACAACAGGGAAGAAAAGGGAAGTTTCCTCTTCATTGTCTGGCTGAACATCTTTTAAAATGACCTCAAGTCAGCCTGACTTGGCA